CCATATTTGGGGTTGGGAAGGAATTTTCCTCCAGGGCAGATTGGCAGAGGCCCTGGGGGGGTTTTGCCTTCCTCTGTAGCATGGGGCAAGGGTCACTTGCTGGAGGATTCTCTGCACCTTGAAGTCTTTAAACCATGATTTGAGGACTTCAATAGCTCAGACATAGGTTAGGGGTTTGATACAGGAGTGGGTGGGTGAGATTCTGTGGCCTGTGTTGTGCAGGAGGTCAGACTAGACAATCATAATGATCCCTTCTGACCTTAAAGTCTATGATTCTATGTCCCTGTCCCCCAGAGCCCCCACTCAGGGCAGGTGGAGGAGCCATGGCTCCCCACAGTTGCCCGCATGGCTCTTACCATGGCCGGGCTGGAGCTCCCACCCCCCTCCCTCCCTGGCTGGAGCGGGTCAGGGAGAGCCGCACAGGCATCTGTGGGGAGCCGGCATGAGTCGCGAACCCTCCACCTCCACCTACCCTGGGCCAGGCAGGGAGCCCGGGGGACAAGGACACAGGCCGGGGGCTGCTCTCCACAATCCCCACACAATGGGCAGGTGGAGGGTCCACGCAGCTCCCACAACTGCCCGGGCTCCCTGGCCAGGCGGGGTCCACAAGCTGCTGGCCTGGCCGGGGGGTGGGGCCTCAGAGGGAAGAGAAGGGGAAGGGGGCAGGGCCCGCCATGGGGAAAAGTGGACAGGTGAGGCCTGTCCACTTTCAAAAAGTGGGAGGGCTATGGCCCCCTGGCCCCCATGTTCCGGCACCCCGATAGGCTTTAAGTCTAGCAGAAAAAGGTATAACACAATCCAATGGCTGGAAGTTGAAGCTAGACTAGTTCATATGGAAATAAAGGTATACATTTTTAATGGTGAGAGTAATTGACCATTGGAACTATTTACTAAGGGTCTTGGTAGATTCTCCATCACTGACAATTTTTCAATCAAGGTTGGCTGTTGTTCTAAAAGCTATGCTCTATGAATTATTTTGGGGGAGTTCTATGGCCCGTGTTATATGGGAGGTCAGGCTGGATGATCACAATGGGCCCTTCTGGCCTTGTAATCGATGAATCTATAATTCAAGGACTGTGTTAAGATCATGCCTGGTAAACAAGTTAAGTGTGGGACCAAAAATCAGTGAACCAAAATTGGCATGTCAGAAATTAGGCCTAACTGGTGGACACAATAATGATGGGATGGGCTATTCCACCCATCACTCCCTTTTGGGGATTCTGAAAAAAAAATGACTTTGTGCCAGGAGGGAGCTGGCTACCACGGCATTAGCTGGCTGAGGCTATGCCTACTCTGTGAGGTAGAGGTGTGATTCCCCTGCTCATGTACACATACTTGTGCTAGCTCTCATCCAGCTACTGCAAGTATAAGTAGCTATGTGGCCATGGCAGCCCAGGTAGTAACAATAGAGGCATGGCTGAGCCATGTTGAGTACAAACCCCCCTGAAAACGGTATGGCTTCTCCACTTCTCCTACCCATACTACTGCAGCTACACTTCTGTTTATACTGACATTAGTTCTCACCAAGCTACCACAAATATGTGTACCTGAGCAGGGGAATCATACCACTACCTTATAGCATAGACATAGCCTAAGAAATGGGATTGGACTTTAGCAACAGCAATAACAACTAACTTCTTCTCTTTTCCCCAAAAAGGACAGTTATTACCATCTAGGAGACTGTCAAACAAAGGCTTTTTTCCTACTAAAGACTCTCTCCATCTAAAGGTAAGGGAAACAGGGATATTGGTAAAATGAAAGTCTTATTGAATACTTTACATTTCAAATACTTTAACTGTTTTTCCTCCTTTTCTGTATCTTTAATAAAAGACTAAAATAATTTTTAATGGCATCCTTGCCATGGTACTAAGCAGGCTGAGATCTCTGTATACCAAATCCCAGACCTTCTTTAACACTATTTAATGTTGGACAGTGACAGAGTCATGTTAACCTCTTTGATTCATTGGGCCCATATATTTCATCTAAATTAATGTAATAGTGCTGAAGAACTATTAGATTATTATTAAAAAAACCTAGACATTTCACTACTCAATAAAGCCATATTCTACCCTTGATCTATGTGCAAACCCAGCCATTGACATCAATGGGAAATCTGCTGTGGGTTAGGGGAGTATACAGACATAAATTTACACCCTAGCCTACAGAGCATAATTCAAAATGAAACTCAGCCCTTTCCCCAGAATGAGTCAAACACCCCTTGAAGGGCTGTCTCCATTACTCTGGATCACCTGTCCAACCCTCACTGCTTACAGCAAGAGAAGTAAAAATCTTATTTTACAGTGGTGATTTTTGTCCAGTATTTTGGTCATTTTCAAGGAGACATTTCCAACCTCTCAATGGTTTCAAATGTGCCCCCCATCCCCATTAGACCTGTCCTGCCGTTGGAGCAGCTGCTGCGTTTCTCTGCTCTCAACACATTCTTAGTGGAAGGATTTTCTGTGCATTACCTGCAGTTCGATCCCAAAAAGTAGATCACTCCCTTCTCTTAAGCTAGAAACCTGCTCGATGTCTCCAAATAAAACAGGAGAAAAACCAGCTCCGCTGCCAATGCGTTGTTGCTGCTGCTGTTTCTAGCACGCTGCAGCTCTCCTGTGAAATTTGGAGGAAGCTGCTGAGAACCCAGCACCCTAATAACCCAGACACAAAGAGGGAGGAGACACACCTTCATGGAGCAAGGTGGAGCTGTCTGGATTCCTATTCATTTGTCTCTCACACTGCCTTTAACTTTTTTTTTTAGACAGGTTGGAGTCTGCTAAACTGCATGCACTGAACATTCCCCTTCCTATATTGTCTCACACTCACATATTTCTTGGATGTGGTAATTATCTGCCCTCGCACACAGCATTTATTCTGGCAGGGTGACTCTGACATTGTTATTTTCATTGTACTATTCAGCAAGTTTTCTTTTTTGCAGCAAGCAGATTAATGGAATAACCTGGTTACTAGCAGCATGCTCCTCACGGACAAGTCTCATGGCACATCAGAGAGACTCAGGACCTTATAAAGTATCTTTATCAGAGGTCATTATGCTTCTGCAGAATACCTTCTGCTGTCTTTCTGACCCTAAGTGGACACATATAGGTAGAAAGTCTAGAGGGCATCACAGTGCTCACCTCAGGTCTATTTCATTGTGGCCCTTTACTATGTGTTATCATTTATACCCTGCATGTTAATACAGGACACTGCAAAATCAGAATGGAAGCATTTTACACCCACTTTGCACTGGTGTAAATGACTAGTTAAGGTGCAGAACAATGGTGAATCAGGCGTATCTTTTCTAGGTAGATCAGAGCTTTCCAAATCTTTTTGAAGATTAGGCCACATCTTCATGACCAGATTGTTGGATTGAGCACCTCCCCTCACATTCAGAATCCTGTGTAGACCATGTTCCCTCCTAGCTATGATCACATAAACAACTACTGTGGTTGCTGCAAGTGTAATATATGGAAAAGTAATATTGTATTTTTAGATTATTTAGTGCAATGTGGCAGCTAGAAATGAAGAGAGCCAGCACCACTGGACACAGCAGCGTTCTACAGATCATGAGCAATGCTCTACTGAGCTCCAGTGGGCCACACACACACACACACACCATGGTTTAAGAACCACACAGCTACTTTTATTTTTCAATTTTATTTTGCTTGTAGCACCATGGTACCTAAGTGTGGAACAAAAGTAGGTGCACAATATGAGAAACAAAAGGCACTTCTCTCTTTTTCCTGGCAGGAGAGTGACTTTGCATGATGTTTGCTTGCTTGCTTGTTTGTTTTTGTTTTTACATTCTAAGATCCTAAGATTCTGTTGTTGGAAAGGAGAGGTGGGGGGGGGGGGAGAAGGAGATCTTATTGAAAAGGTATATTTTACACTTTGATCTCAACACCGTCAAGTTTGCATTCAGTCTGACCTTCTCTGGCAAGGAGCTCTACATCTGGGGTCATGCTGCCAAGGGGTTCCCACTGTCTGACACTCAGAAGTTGAATCTATTCAGCTTGAATGGAGTGGTCTATGAGAACCATAGTGCTGAAACAATATGCAGAATTCTAGCTGTCGGATCTGTTTTTTTCAAAGCACTCGGCAAACTCCACCTCTTTCCCCAGGCTTCTGGGGAGAGAGGAAAGCTGAGAGCTGGGATGCATGCAATGGATTCATTTGTTCAGACACGCTCTGGTGACAGGCTCTCCTCCACCTGAGACGTGGTGCTGTTCACCCTTTCTTTTCTTGAAGGTCCACAGTGATACATTGTGTTTCATGTAGTTCCCCACAAATGAGATACCATGGGTGTGGTTTTCCAAAAGGAAATACGCTTGGGTGTGTGGGGAACAAAGGGTGCCAGTTTCATGTTATACTATCTGTTGATACATCAGATAAGATGCACAGGTAGTTCCACTCTCAGTGGAAAAATACTCCCACACACCCATGATTTTGGCTTCTGCTGTTTACCAGGTGCTATACTCGACAGGTGCTGGTTGCCTTTGGAGACAGCATCATAGAAATCTCCAGAAATTGTGACAATATTTATGGCCCTTCTTATTTCACTAGCTTTACCAATTAATTGCCTCTTGCTCCTGAATGCTCCCTTGCCTCATGATTAATTGGTACCATGGGAGTCTCACCATCCTCCCTCTCAGAAGAAAGATTTGGAAATGAATCATTCCCAGATGAGAATGTCTCTTCAGATGCAGTGATCTTATCTGCTTTATCCTGTGAGGGAATGACAGATGGTGCCATATCGTCTACACCCAAAAGAGCCCCACCAGGGCCTAACTGGGTTACTTTTCCCAGACCAAGTAGAGTGCTATGGCCTGTCATGTAAAAATGCCAAGTGATGAGGATGATCAAGCCCACATTAGGACTGTCCATTAGTTTTAGCCCTGGGCCTAAATGTGCCTTTGACAGACTTGGTTCCCCCTCCACTGTTGCTACGTATACTCCAGCAACTCATCATATGCTATCAGCATCAGTATCTGCAATAACTAAGACTTAATAGTAATATAGCTGGGGGATGGACTTGTTCCCCGGTCTCCTACCACATAGATTATGACCCCAATCTGACAGCATGACGCAGCTCGAACTGAGCTAATTTCAAGAGATGTTTTCAAATGTTACTACCCAAATCCCTATGTAAGACAATAGCAAGAGCCTGAAGCTGCTAATGCCTTAAGGCAACTGTGAACTATTTCACAGATACTCATACTATGCCCTCAGTTGTTAATCCGGGGGGTGGGGGGGGGAGAAGGTTAGGGTTTCTCTGTGCAAGACCCTAGTTCTTGAGCTATTGAGACACACCTGGTCTGGCTGCCAGGCCAGAGTTTGTTGTCAGACGACCTTTCAACCAGTATTAATCTGCCTTGTTCATGAATAGGAAAATACACACAAAGCAAGACTAAGGTAACTGGGGGTTGTTTCAGCCCTCACCATTCCAAAATAACCCATTAACTTTTCAGATATAAGAACTGCACTGGCAATTTACCAGGAGCCTGGGGGTACGAAACTAATTTATGCATGTCAAGTTTAATTTACACTAAATGCTGTTACTATTAGTATAAATACTATTAAAACGGTAAACTAGGAGATCTTCAATGATCTGAAACTCAAAAAAGAGTCCTACAAAAAGTGAAAACTAGGTCAAATTACAAAGGATTAATATAAAACAAACAACACAAGCAGGTAGGGACAAAATAAGAATTGCCAAGGCACAAAATAAGATTAAACTAGCTAAAGACAAACAGTAACAAGAACACTTTCTACAAATACATTAGAAGCAAGAGGAAGACCAAGAACAGGGTAGGCCCATTACTCAACATAGAGAAAAAGACAATAACAGAAAATGTGGAAATGGCAGAAGTGCTAAATGACTTTTTTGTTTCAGTTTTCACCAAAAAGGTTAGTAGGGATTGGACATCTAACATAGTGAACACCAGTGAGAATGAGGTAAGGTCTGAGACTAAAATAGGGAAAGAAGAAGTTAAAAATTACTGAAACGAGTTAGATGTCTTCAAGTCACCAGGGCCTGATGAAATACATCCTAGAATACTCAAGGAGCTGACTGAGGAGATATCTGAGCCATTAGCGAGTATCTTTGAACAGTCATGGAAGACGGGAGAGATTCCAGAAGACTGGAAAAAGGCAAATGTAGTGCCAATCTATAAAAAAGGGAATAAAGACAACCCAGGGAATTACAGACTAGTCAGTTTAAGTTCAGCACCAGGAAAGATAATGGAACAAATAATCAAGCAACCAATTTGCAAATACCTAGCAGATAATAAGATAAGTAACAGACAGCATTGATTTGTCAAGAACAAATCATGTCAAACCAACTTAATAGCTTTCTTTGACAGGGTAACAAGCCTTGTGGATGGGCGTGAAGCAGTAGATGTGGTATATCTTGACTTTAATAAGGCTTTTGATATGGTCTCATATGACCTTCTCATAAATAAAGTAGCAAAATACAGTCTAGGTCAGGGGTGGGCAAACTACGACCCGTGGGCTGCAGCCGTCCTATCAGGCCTTTTAATCCAGCCCTCAAGATCCCGCCGGGCAGCGGGGTCAAGGGCTTGCCACGCTCCAGCTGGGTAGCGGGGTCAGGTGCTTGCCGCACAGCTCCTACGCATAGGGGCAGCCAGAGGTCTCTCCGCATGCTGCCCCGCCTCAAGCGCTGCCCCCCGCAGTTCCCATTGACCAGGAACTGTGGCCAATGGGAGCTGCAGGGGCGGTGCCTGCAGACAGGGCACCTTGCAGAGCCGCCTGGCTGGCGCCATGCCTCCACATAGGAGCCATAGGGGGGCATACCGCTGCTTCTGGGAGCTGTGGGAGTGGCGCTTGCAGATAGGGCAGCACGCAGAGCCCCCTAGCCACGCCTCCGCATAGGAGCCAGAGGAGGGACATGCTGCTGCTTCCCAGAGCCTGCACCCCTGAGCCCTCCCCCCCGCCCCACCCCCCAGCCCCAGCCCTGATCCCCCTCCCGCCCTCCGAACCCCTTGGTCCCAGCCCAGAGAACCCTTCTGCACCGCAAACTCCTCATCCCCAAACCCCACCCCAGAGCCTGCACCACAAGCCAGAGCCCTCACACCTCCCCCCACACCCCAACTCCCTGCCTCAGCCCCTCCCATCCTCAGCCCCTCCCATCCTCCAAACCCTTTGGTCCCAGCCCAGAGCACCCTCCTGCACCCCAAGCCACTCATCTCCAGCCCCACCCCAGAGCCCACACTCCCAGCCGGAGCCCTCACCCCCTCCCGCAACCCCACCCCCAATTTCATGAGCATTCATGGCCTGCCATACAATTTTTATACTAAGATGTGGCCCTCGGGCCAGAAAGTTTGCCCACCCCTGGTATAGATGGAGCTACTATAAGGTGGGTGCATAACTGGTTGGAAAACCATTCCCAGAGAGTAGTTATCAGTAGTTCACAGTCAAGCTGAAGGACATATCAAGTGAGGTCCCGTAGGGATCGTTCCAGGGTCCTGTTCTGTTCAATATCTTCATAAATGATTTAGATAATGACATAGAGAGTACACTTATAAAGTTTG